AAAGATCTTCATAGGTTCTTCAATTGGGACACGAACTTGATTCTTCAAGCTTTGCAACCATATTGCTTGACATGCACTTGAGGCTACCGCCACATACTCTGCTTCACAGGTTGAAAGTGCAACAATCGACTGCTTTTTTGATGACCATGAACAAGCTGTACTGCCAAAATTAAAGCAATAACCAGTAGTGCTTTTACGATCATCTAAGTCTCCACCCCAATCACTGTCAGAATAACCTACAAGAGCACAATTGCTAGATGAAGAGTAAAATAGACCATGATCAAAAGTGCCCTTTAGGTACCTCATAATTCTCTTGGCAACTTGCAAATGAGATTGACGAGGGGACTCCATAAACTTGTTGATCAATCCAACACCATAAGAGATGTCAGGTCGTGTGCATGTGAGATACCTCAAACTCCCAACAAGTTGCTTGAAGAAAGTGGGATTAACACGTACGTCATCACCCTCCTTGAACAACTTAGTTCCAACCTCCACAGGAGTTCTTGCTGGATTGCAATTATGCATATGAAACCTCCTCAACAGTTCAGAGGCATACCTCTTTTGACATATAAAGATCCCATCTTCTCTTTGCATCACTTCTATACCCAGAAAGTAAGACATTAAACCAAGATCCGTCATCTCGAATTCGTGCATCATAGACCTCTTGAAGTCTTCAATCATTCTGGTGCTGTTGCTTGTAAATATCAGATCATCAACATAAAGACAGAGTATCAAAATATCACCAGATTCATTAAACTTCACATATAAAGCATGTTCAGAAGGACATTTCTTGAATCCAGCCTTGACAAAGAATGAATCAATGCGCTTGTTCCATGCTCGTGGTGCTTGCTTCAAACCGTAAAGTGCTTTCTTCAATCTGTACACTTTATCTTCACTTCCTTCTTTCACGAATCCTGGTGGTTGCCTGACAAAGACTTCTTCTTCAAGAGGGCCATTCAAGAATGCTGACTTCACATCCATTTGATTAATCTTCCATTGATTTTGTGCAGCCCAAGCTATAATGAATCTAATGGTCTCCATTCGAGCTACTGGAGAGAACACCTCTTAATAATCATGGCCAAGACGCTGTTCAAATCCTCTTGCCACCAATCTTGCTTTATGTCTTTCAATCTCTCCATTGGACTTCATCTTTGTCTTGAAAACCCATTTGACATCAATTGCTTTTTGATCCTATGGTAAGTCAGTAAGCTCCCATGTGTTGTTCTTCTCAATTGCCTTCATCTCCTCTAGCATGGCATTCACCCATTTAGGATCCTAAATGGCTTCTTCAAAAAATACGGGTTCTAAATCTGCAAACATGGCAAAGTGCACCAGATTTCCATCATCATCAATAGCATCATCGGATGTTACCTCATAATCTTGTAAAGTAACTGGTGGTTGTCTTTGTCTCCTCGATCTTCCAACTTCAGGAAGAGTCTGTGTCATGGGATTTTCTGGTGTAGTATAACTTGGTGCAGCAGCTTCTTCATTAGTATTGGTTGCTGTAACTTGAGAATCTTCTTCAAGAATAGTGACAGATTGCCTTTGGGAGTCATTGTTTGTATCCAGATCCCACCTCCAAGCTTCATCTTCTGCAAAAGTCACATCCCTACTTACAATCACCTTATTAGTCACAGGATTGAACAGCTTGAATCCTCCACGAGTATAGCCAACAAAGATGGTCTTCTCTCCACGATCATCTAGCTTTGTCCTTGTTTGTGCCGGCACATGAGCAAATGCAATAGAGCCAAACACCTTAAGATGCTTCACACTTGGCTTGAAACCACTCCATGCTTCTATGGGGGTAACATTTTGAAAACTCCTTGTTGGAGACCTGTTTAACAAATAAACAGAACAAGAAACAACTTCACCCCAAAAAGAATTTGGCATTCCCTTGGCCTTTAAGATGCTCCTCACCATGTCCATTATGGTTTTGTTCTTCCTCTCTGCAACTCCATTGTGCTGTGGAGTGTAGGGACATGTAACTTGATGTTGTATACCCTGTTCTCCACAATACCCATGAAATTCATTGGAGGTATATTCACCCCCACCATCAGTTCGTAAGATTTGGATACAATGACCACTTTGTCTTTCAACATGAGCCTTAAACTTCTTAAAACAACTCAATACTTCAGACTTATTTTGCAGAAGATAGACCCAAATTTTTCTAGTAAAATCATCAATGAAGGTAAGAAAATACCTATTGTTACCAGTTGATGTAACACTCATTGGCCCACAGACATCAGAATGGACAAGTTCCAATGGCTTTCTTGCACGCCAATTCTTTCCAGCCACAAATGGTAACCTGCTGTGTTTTCCAAGAGTACAAGCCTCACACAATTGCTCTGGATGATTTATGCTAGGCAAGCCCTTCACCATATTTTCTTGAGCAAGCAACTTCAAACTACGAAAGTTTAGATGACCAAAACGAAGATGCCATAACCAAGAATCATCTTTCAAAACAGCACTAAGGCAAGTGTAAACCTCACTGGCAATGTCAACTCGAAACATACGATTCTTTGATAGAGGAGCCTTAAGAATAAGTGTACCTTTTACATCAAAAATGGAGAGTTGATTATCACGTAGGAGCATATTATAACCCCTTTCCAGCAATTGACCCAAGCTAAGCAGATTGCTCTTCATGTCCGGCACATAGAACACGTCTGAAATATAATTATGATCTCCATTCTTCAATTTGATGAGGATTCTCCCTTTTCCCATCACTGGCACAGTGCTTTCATCTGCAAATTTGACCTTGGATCGATACGACTCATCAAGATCAACAAAGAACTCCTTCTTACCACACATATGATTAGTACATCCAGTGTCAAGAAACCATGTGTGATAATTTGATGCCTCATTTGTTGATGTAACCATCAAAAGAGCATGATCTTCACTGTCATCTTCCTCTTGTACATAATGAGCCTTTTGATCATTCTCCTTATATCTGCACTCACTTGAATAATGACCACGTTTATGACAAGAATAACACTCAACATGAGATTTGTCATACCTTCCTCTACCACGTCCTCGACCACGACCGCGACCTCTTGCATTCTGTCGATGGCCAAAGTTTGATTTTTCTTGGTCATCACCACCTACTCCATAATTGTTGTTATGATCACCTCGACCTTTGTTGAAGTAAAAACCACGTCCTCGTCCTCTACCACGAGAACCACCATGCTTTTGACTTGTTTCACCACCTTGATTACCTTTGATGGAAACTTGGCTTTGGAAGGCTTGCTCAATCGGCTTCTCTATCCGTTTCTCATTCATTCTCTGCTCATATGCTTCTAATGAGCCTGACAACTCTTCAACAGTCATTTGGGACAAATCATGGGCTTCTTCTATTGCTGCCACAATGTGCTCAAATTTTGGTGTGAGTGTCCGCAAGATTTTCTCCACCTTAGTCTGCTCTGTGTACTCCTCTCCATAAATCTTGATTTTATTTGTCAACGCAAGAACTCGACTAACATAAGTGGCGGTAGTTTCAGAAGACTCCATTTCTAGGAGCTCATATTGGCGTCTTAAGGTTTGGAGTTTTATCTTCTTAACTTTCTCCGCACCTTTGTACGCCGTCATCAGGATATCCCATGCTTGCTTTGACGTAGTTGCATCTTGAATCTTCTCAAACACTTCATCATTCACCCCTTGATGGATGAAATATAATGCCTTCTTATCCTTTTTCTTGCTCTCACGATGGGCGTGCTTTTGGGCATCATTTGCATTTTCTGCAAGTTCAGCAACTCCAGTCTCCACCACACCTAGCAACTCGTGGTAATCAAAAAGCACCCTCATTTGGACATTCCACCTATTGTAATTCTTCCCATCCAAGATAGGAACTGAAATCTAATTTGAGCCATTCATTGTGTAAGGCTCTGATACCAATTGAAGTAGCAGAAGAGATAAAAGCAAAACAACCAAAAACAGAGCAGAACAGGGGAAGAAAGAGGCACTTTTATTGCTGGAAATAGATGAAGATAATTGCACGTTAAACTGAATAACAACTGCCTATTTATAATAGGCTAATAAAGCATAAACTCCTATTTTCTAG